ATATTTTAGTCCTATAATTTGGGTCTAGATAGGAAATGGGTTAAAATTAAGGGAAGGAGGGCCAGGGAAGGCATAGTGTGGGATGTGTGAAGCTGAGTGATGAGAGGGACAAAAATCTGGTGCTATTGGTAAAGATAACCCGAAAACGTTCAAGTGGAGGTCTGCTGTTGCCATCCCTCAGACATGAGGATGGCGGCTGTATTGAGTACTGCGCTGAAGTCTGTCTAGTTTCAGTACTCTTGATATATTTGAGGTTACCATTTATCATGATTTACAGGGTGTCTCAATAGTCCGTACTCCGGCAGAATTTACTTTTTTTTTTTAGTAAACGTTCAAAACGCTCGTTGTCCCCACACTGTGTTTGTCAGTCTCTCATGCGTTAATTTTAATATACTCACTCCGAAAGGATATTCTTCAGCCTGTTGATATACAGTATATAAGTACGAAGTTTTGGAACACCTGCACATCGTTCAGACACCGACGGTATGTCAGCTGCAGTAGTCTTGCAACTGGACTCGTGAGCCAGGAACATCAAGGTTCTCCCCAGCACGCAACACTCACCAGACTCTTGGTGACACTTTACCGTGTTATTACCTGCGCTCACAAGATAAATCACTGGTAGTCTCAGTACATGGTGGGCCAGGGAGCACCGAGGAGGCCTCCGTGATCTTAATGGCTCATATCAGGGGTTCACAGTTGGCACGATACTGATTTTGTACCTTAAGGGGTGCGCGTGTATGGGGATAAGTTTTTGTACAGGTTTAAAGTTTGATAATCCAGAGTTGGATTGACGCTGGGTTTTATGTCTGTAGACTCACCATAAATGTCTTAACACACAAACACACAGGTTCCCAAAAAACATTATGGTGCCAACTTTGAACCTCTCATATAACCTCCCAACACCACCTTGCCCAGTTGTCGTGCGCCACAGTTTTCTATAAAATACCGTACATGACTCCTAGTAGTCCCCGCTACCAGCCGTGTAATACAATATATTAAAAGTATCGACTATGACGTACCTAACAGTATTGTACCTCTCGATGACCTACGACACGATTCCCTGTGAGGACGATAAGTCACAGTTGCACAGATGTTCACCAGGTAGCGCTGCAGGGGCCCCGCACCGCTGCACTAAACTGGTCACCTACACCTAACACAACCCAACACACAGCTAAAAAAGGGGCTAATAATACAAATAATTAGACTAATGAACGTAACATGAATGATTGCTTATAAGTTACAAGTGTGTTAACTAACCAAAGTGATGGTATAATCCTTGCTAACACCTACCGCAGGTCTGTGTATCAACATTGTTAAAATGGTCTAATGTGGTCTGTAGTGGCCGGATTAGACAGTGTTGGTCTCATGTGAATCTCGGCCAGTGTTGAATTCACGTGAGACTCATCCAGTGTTGGTGGGTTGCGCCTCATCTAAGCTTCGGCAATACAGTATTTGGTGTGGTGTGACAATGCTTCACACACTAGTTTATATGTGCGCCCTGGAGGTGATCACACTGGAGGTGTTCACACTGGAGGTGTTCACACTGGAGGTGTTCTACCCTGGAGGGTGTTCTCTACCCTGGAGGTGATCACACTGGAGAGTGTTCTACCTAAGTATTCTACCTGAAGGTGTTTCTACCTGGAGGTGTTCTACCTGGAGGTGTTCACACTGGAGGTGTGTTCTACCCTGGAGGTGTTCACACTGGAGGTGTTCTGCCTGGAGGTGATCACACTGGAGGTGTTCTACCCTGGAGGGTGATCACTGGAGGGTGTTCTATCCTGGAGGTGTTCTACCCTGGAGGTGATCACTGGGTGTTCACACTGGAGGTATTCTACCCTGGAGGTGATCACACTGGAGGTGTTCTGCCGGAGGTGCTCACACTGGAGGTGTTCTGCCTGGAGTGTTCACTGGAGGAGTGTTCTACCCTGGAGGTGTTCACACTGGAGGGGTGTTCTACCCTGGAGGTGATCACGCAGGTGTTCTACCCTGGAGGTGATCACACTGGAGGTGTTCTATCCTGGAGGTGTTCTGCCCTGGGTGATCACACTGGAGGTGTTCTACCTAAAGGTATTCTACCCTGGAGGTGTTCACACTGGAGGTGTTCTACCCTGGAGGTGTTCACACTGGAGTGTTCTACCTGGAGGTGTTCACACTGGAGGTGTTCTGCCCTGGGTGTTCACACTGGAGGTGTTCTACCCTGGAGGTGATCACACTGGGTGTTCTGCCCTGGAGGTGATCACACTGGGTGTTATTCTACCCTGGAGGTGATCACACTGGAGGTGTTCTACCTGGAGGTATTCTGCCCTGGAGGTGTTCACACTGGAGGTGTTCTGCCCTGGAGGTGATCACACTGGAGGTGTTCTACCCTGGAGGTGTTCACACTGGAGGTGTTCTATCCTGGAGGTGTTCTACCCTGGAGGTGATCACACTGGAAGTGTTCTACCTAAAGGTATTCTACCTGGAGATTGTTCACACACTGGAGGTGTTCTACCCTGATCACACTAGAGGTGTTCACACTGGAGTGTTCTACCCTGGAATGTTCACACTGGAGGTGATGATCACACTGGAGGTGTTCTGCCCTGGAGGTATTCTACCCTGGGGTGTTTCTACCCTGGAGGTGTTCACACAGGGGTGTTCTACCCTAGGAGGTGTTCACACTGAGGTGTTCACACTGAGGTGTTCTACCCTGGAGGTGTTCACACTGGAGGTGTTCACACTGGAGGTGTTCACACTGGTGTTCTACCCTGGAGGAGATCACTAGAGGTGTTCATACTGGAGTGCTCACACTGGAGGTGTTCTGCCACCGTTGTTCACACTGGAGGTGTTCTACCCTGGGGGTGTTCACACTGGAGGTGTTCTACCCTGGAGGTGTTCTACCCTGGGTGTTCTACCCTGGAGGTGATCACACTGGAGGTGTGTTCACACTGGAGGTGTTCTACCCTGGAGGGTGATCACACTAGAGGTGTTCACACTGGAGGTGTTCTACCCACCAGGTGGTCTGCCTGGAGGAGATCACACTGGAGGGTGTTCTACCCTGGAGGAGATCACACAGGAGGTGTTCACACTGGAGGTGTTCTACCCTGGAGTGATCACACTGGAGGTGTTCACACTGGAGGTGTTCTACCCTGGAGGTGATCACACTAGAGTGTTCACACTGGAGGTGTTCTACCCTGGAGGTGTTCACACTGGAGTGTTCTGCATAGGGTGATCACTGGAGGGTGTTCTACCCTGGAGTGTTCTACCCTGGGGTGTTCACACTGGAGTGCTCTATCCTGGAGGTGTTCACACTGTGGGGTGTTCACACTGGAGGTGATCACACTGGAGGTGTTCACACTGGAGGTATTCACACTGGAGGTGTTCTACATAAGGTGTTCACACTGGAGGTGATCACACTGGAGGTGTTCTACACTGGAGGTGTTCACACTGTAGGTGTTCACACTGGAGGTGATCACTGAAGTGTTCACACTGTAGGTGTTCACACTGGAGGTGTTGTTCTACTGCACTGGAGGTGTTCACACTGGAGTGATCACACTGGAATTCACACTGGAGGGTGTTCTACCTGGAGGTGTTCTGCCCTGAGTGTTCTACCTTGGAGGTGTTGTTGTTCTACCCTGGAGGTGTTCTACCGCCCAGGAGGTGTTCTACCCTGGAGATGTGTTCACACTGGAGGTGATCACACTGGAGGTGTTCACACTGGAGAGGTGATCACACTGGAGGTGTTCACACTGGAGATGTTCACACTGGGTGATCACACTGGAGAGTGTTCACACTGGAGGTGTTGTTCTACCCACCAGGTGTTTACCCTGGAGGGTGTTCTACCCTGGAGATGTTCACACTGGAGGTGATCACACTGGAGATACACTGGAGGTGTTCTACCCTGGAGGGTGTTCTACCCTGGAGTGTTCTACCCTGGAGGTGTTCTACCCTGGAGGTGTTCTACCTGGAGGTGATCACACTGGAGGTGTTCACACTCTGGAGGTGTTCTACCCTGGAGGTGCCTGCCACAGGTGTTCTACCCTGGAGGTGTTCTACCCTGGAGGTGTTCTGCAGCGGAAGTGTTCTACCCTGGAGGTGTTCTACCCTGGAGGTGAGTTCTACCCTGGAGGTGTTCTACCCTGGAGGTGTTCTACCCTGGAGATGTTCACACTGGAGGTGTTCACACTGGAGGTGTTCTACCCTGGATGTGTTCACACTGGTGGTGTTCTACCCTGGATGTGTTCACACTGGTGGTGTTCACACTGGAGGTGTTCTACTCTGGATGTGTTCACACTGTTGTGTTCACACTGGTGGTGTTCACACTGTTGTGTTCACACTGTTTTGTTCACACTGGTGGTGTTCACACTGTTGTGTTCACACTGTTGTGTTCACCACTGTGTTCACACTGTTGGTGTTCCCTTTTTGGTGTTCACACTGTTTGTGTTCACACTGTTTGTGTTCACTATTGTGTTCACAATGGCGGTGTTCCTTCTTGTGTTCACAATGGTGGTGTTCACAGTGCTGGTGTTCACAATGATGGTATTCACTCTATTGGTGTTCACTCTTGCGTTCACGCTGGCAGTGTTCACACTGTTGGTGTTCCCTCTTGTGTTCACGCTGGCGATGTTCACACTGGTGTTCACAATGGTGGAGTTCACACTGGCGGTGTTCATCTACCACTGAGCTTATTAGATCATGTTGTTGTATATAATTATAGTGATGCAGCATTTTTCACTTAGAGTTGTAACCTATAGTGAAGAAGATACAGTGTAGTAGTTAGCATGATAGTACAGTAGTTATGTACATGATGTAATCATTATCTTCCAAAGCATAAATTTATAGCAATTAAAATATATTGAGCTTCGCCACAACCGCTGCCCCCAACAATATAGTGTATATATAGGCTATATAAACCTATATGAACAAGAGTCTAGCTATATATACAGCTATAAAGTTGAAACAGCAAGAGAGAAGTGAGGCAGCAGTGGTACCCTTCCCGTACTACCTTCCTTGTGTAATGGTAGGGGCCTCACCGCGATGGTCGCGTCAAGCGAAGAACTGAAGGCCAGGCATTCGTCACGCTCCAGCAGGCCAGGGTGAGTCGGGCAGGCCGGCTCTGCTCCACAGTGTGGCACTCTCTTCTTAGCCTGGCACCCTCCTTATCCAGCTAGTGTGGCACTTTTCTCTTAGTGTGTGTGTGTGCGTGACACTATCCAGTTAGCATGTACGTTTGTGTGTCTGCGCGTGTGAAACTGTCCTTAGAGTGTATGCGTCTGTGTGTATACGCGCGTGTTTGGGTCTTTTCTAGGACTTAGGTACTACCCATGTACAACGTACATAAGGCACTATAGTGATAGAAGAGCATAGCTCTAGACAGTAAGTAATGTGTGACTACACATAGTTTGTAGAACGTCTCCGTAAAATGAATGACATGACACCATCTAGTGTGTGTCCAGGTCAGTGATGTACCTAGTCCTGATAATGTATGTTTGCTGCACACTGCTCACCCCAAGTGTGTGCGTTTGTATGGCGCTGTTCTCATAGATAGTGTTTGGGTTTGTGTGTTTGTCATTGCTCGGGATAGTTTGGCATTGTCATGATGGTGCGTGTGGCACACTTCCAAAGTTAGTGTGTGTGTGTGTGTGTGTGTGGCATAATGTACATAGTTTTTTATTCTTTGAATGTGTGTGTGTGTGTGTGTCACTCCAGATCGTAAGCGTGTGTATATGTTACGTTTTTTGTTGCGAAATCGGTTATTTTGCAAAATTCCCGGCATGCATGTCGGGAATTTTGCAAAATAACCAATTTCGCAACAAAAAACGTAACATACATTATATGCATGGTTGCGTGCGTGTTTACATGCCTGCATCAGTGTCAGACGTGTAAGGTTGTAACAGCTGTGTGCTATGAAGTCGCCGAGAGGCAATTATCTGTGTTTTTTATGTATGGTTGTTTTTCCTAACAGTACTTACTATCCGATTCTCAGTTGTTAAATGAGTGTGTGGTTACTCTTGATCCAGGCAGCGTCACACCCTAGTATAGGCCATGTGATACACTGTGTGTTAATGTGTCCAGTGACACTGCTGCTGTGTAGTTTATGGTGATGGTGATGTGATGTTTGGTGATTGTGATGAGTGGCACTCTTGGTGCGGAGTGAATTGGCAATATTAAATGTGTTTTAGTGAGTAGTGTATAGGCAGTGTTGTCTAGATAGTAAATTGACACTTGGCGCTATAACGAACTGTGCTGTGGGACTGTGTGGAGAAGTGGTAGAGTTAGGAGTGTGTGATGTTGCAGGGGTGAGTCGCTGGCACTGTCGTTAATGGGACAGTGTGGTAGACGGGAATGGTGTTCAGAGTGTTCAGATATGTCAGTGTTAGCGGGGCACTGCTTGACCGCCGCTAGTCCTACCCTGAACATGACACACATGCACTTCACTCGATAGGTTAAGGGTACTGAGAAGTACTACGTTTCACGGGAAGTTGTGTTACAGCACATAGCGTGTGTGCGTTTGTCGCGTAAAGAATATAGATCCCACCCTGTGAAACTGTAGTTTTCATCAATATTTGGCTAATATGTACCTCATATCGACCAATGTCGGGGATAATACAGTACAAGGTACATTTGGTCAGATTCAAATGGGGGATTTTGCTTTCTAGTTTTGTGAAATTCCTCCCAAACAGTGAGTGTGGATCAGGTGGCTGAATGATTTTTTTCATTGTGCTGGTAATAACTACAATGCGCTTGCATCTTACTACAACGTCCCGGGCTCAATCCTAGGTCAGTGTGGTAAGGGTGACTAACGAACATACCGACACTGAACATTGAAGGCCATGGTCACTAGGAAAGACGGGGAGGATTAAACAAACCATGGCTATCTTCCTCCGGCATGAAATTAATTAAAGAAAAATACAATAAAAAATGCGACTTATCATTCAAAAGTGTGTGTGTGTGAGAGAGAAGAATAATGGTTGATGAAGGGTAGTGTGTGTGTGCATCCATATTGTTACAGTATTACTAAACTCTGGCTTTGATTATATATCAGCGAATGTGTTTGTTCATGCAGGGAAGAAAACTGGCCACTTGACAAACACTGTCAAGGGTGTGTACACTACAGACCCTTCTTCCCTGGGGAGTGTGTGTGTGTGTTTTGATTTTCCTGTATCCAGTTCCTCACAGTTTGACTTACGCCTAGTGTGTTCAGGTTATTATTATCATTTGGTTGGCGTAGAGTAGATAGCTTTTAACACACTAACCATACAACCAGGATGGACGGAAGACAACACCATCACACACCACCACCACCAGCTGACCTGCCCACTATGAACCACTACACAAAACGAGGGAGGAGATACCCGCTGATAATGTTTCAGGACCCGACACCAGGTGTATCATAGTGCACCTCTTACTGCACCCCAGCACGTACTTCTGCGGCCCTCCTGCCTGGCTCCTGCAGGGTGTTTGGAAGATGAATGGTTCTTCTTGCTGGAGGAGTGAGGAACCATGTCTCACTTATTTAACCATACATATACTTACTCCACCACCACCACCACATACTCCACCATCACCACCACATACTCCACCATCACCACCACATACTCCACCATCACCACCACATACTCCACCATCACCACACTCCACCATCACCACCACCACACATTCCACCATCATTACCATACTCCACCATCACCATCACTCACTCCCATCACCACCACATACTCCACCATCATCACACCACCACACATTCCAACATCATCACCATACACTCCACCATCCACCACATACTCACCATCATCCCATACACTCCCATCACCACACACTCCATCCACCACCACACACCTCACCATCACCACACCTCCATCACCCCATACCTCCATCCCCACCACACACTCCACCATCACCACCACACTCCCCATCACCACCACACACTCCCACCATCACCAACACACTCCCCATCATCCACCACACACACCCACCATCACCACCCCACACACTCCACCATCACCACACACTCACCATCACCACCACACACCATCACCACCACACTCCACCATCACCACACACTCCACCATCATCACCACACACTCCCATCACCACCACACTCCACCATCCACCACACTCCCATCACCACCACACTCCAACATCACCACCACACTACTCCACTATCACCACCATACTCCCTCATCACCACCATACCTCCACCATCCACCACACACCCACCACCACCACCACACACTCCACCACCACACGTCATCACCACACCTCCTTTCACCACACACCCCCATCATCACCACACACCCACCTTATCACCACACCCCATCATCACCCACACACTCCACCATCATCACCACACACTCCACCATTATCACCACACACACCATCATCACCACACACCCCACCATCATCACCACACACCATCATCACCACACCTCCCATTATCACCACACCCCATCACATCACCACACACTCCCATATCACCACACACTCCACCTTATCACCACACACCCATCATCCACCTCCCACCATCATCACCACCATCATCACCACACTCACCATTATCACCACACACCCCATCATCACCACACACTCCACCATATCACCACACACCCCATCATCACCACACACTCCACCATCACACCACACACTCCACCATCACCACACACTCCATCACCACCACACACCCCACCACCACCACCCACCCCACCACCACCACACACTCCACCACCACCACCACACTCCACCACCACACACCCTCATCACCACACACACCCACCTTCTCACCACACACCCCATCATACACTTCCACCTTATCACCACACCCCATCATCCACACACTCCACCATCATCACCACACACTCCACCATTATCACCACACCCATCATCACCACACTCCACCATTATCACCACACACCCCACCATCATCACACACCTCCACCACCACGCCCATCATCACCACACACTCCACCATCACCACCACCTCCCACCGTCACCACCACACTCCACCACCACCACCACACACTCCACACGCCCCATCATCACCACACCCGCCATCACCACTCACTCCACCATTATCACCACCATCACATCATCACCACACACTCCACCATTATCACCACCATCACACACCCACCACAAAGTGAGACCGCTAGTTGATCCATGAAACAGCTGCTCTTTATCTCTTGAGTTAATCTGCCAGGGTGATGGAGTGGAGTCTTACCGCCGGGAGACAGACCATATACCCCACACACCCTACACGTAAAGTTGATGAACAAAGTGGTGGTGGCACTTTCCCTATTGACCACGGCACCTCATAATCAACACAAAAAATGATAGGTGTGTTGTTTTGTTTTGCCACACATGTTAAACTTCCCTAACATGTTGTAGTCCCGAACACATGCCTTTGGAATTAAAATATCCAATTAATTTACAAATTCATTTTTTTTTTATATTGGATGTATCAAGATTTATTACTGTAATGGTCTATACAATTGTGTGCAGTAGATTTTTAACGAGCTGCTGGCGTGGTCAGAACTCTTGGGCAGCACATATTTATAAGTTTTCACGTATTATGTATTGGAAAACTTTGCTGTTCCACAGGTATGCTTGAATTGATGAATTTCATATATTTGTTTTCTAATTCTTCTCGAGCAATACAGCATTACTCTAACATGTACAAATTATACATTATCTTAACGTAATAATTCATATTGAAAACAGAAGGTGACCATGATGACTCTCCCAGAAGAAAGAAATGTCAAGCGTTCAATAATACAATATTTCTCATGCCAGCGTATAATTAATGCAATAATTGTCAAACCAACATAAATAACACACAAGCACCTGGGTATCTACATCACAACCTAACCATCCTTTAGAAGCTATGCCTTACACTTCCACCCTACACGATGATTATTTATATTTGTGTTTGAGTGAGAAATATTACATTAATGTCACCCTTAAACAAAGGGTAAACATTTATAGGTAGGTCCTTAAGAAACCGTGTGTAAAATTGTCACAGTGTGGCGACCTTTACATATATTAAGAGTGTTTATAAAAAAAAGTCGAGTTAGGACCAGCCATCAACCTCATAGATCACCACCTTCTTCCCCTGAGGTTTGGGGTAATAAGGATAGATATTTGTATGCGATGTCATCTCTGCATAACACTTCGGGTAATTTACATTGTTACCATGGAGGTCTTTAGCGAAATTCCGTGGCAGATTATTTTTATTTTTTTGGTGCTTGTATCATAGACCTTATGTTGGGAAAAACCTTGATGTGTCGATCAGTTGTGAGTTAATGGCAGAGGTTACCAAATGGAGCTATTACTGTAGACAAGGACTGCTACCTGTGTCATGACCCATTTAACCCAAGGACTCTTGGACGTGAAGCATATTGCTAAGCCCTCTTCACTAAGACTATGACTCAACTTGGGATTCTTCGTGTGATACCGATCTTGTTGTAGGTCTTCAGGATCTGTCACAGAGTTTATATACAGCAGTAAACTCACTTTCTTTTGTCAATTTTATTATCAATATATTACTAGAGTTCTACCTGTAGGACCCATCATGTATATTGGTAAATAACCTTCTTGTGAGGTAAGTGTAATCTTCACGACACAGTCCAAACAACACATGTTCTTTGTAGCCTTGTGCAGATATAGATAAGAATAGATTAATATATATTCATGCGAGTATACATACATACATTCATACACTCAATATATATTCATGCGAGTCTACATTCATACACTCACATATATGTTTGTTTGTATGTATTTTAGCACTTTCCCATATTGACGGCCCACCCAGAAGATGGTTGTAGTGTGGTAGATGTATAGTGTAGTGGTAAGGTAAACCTGGACACATTAGTTGTGACGAGCAGGGTGGTGGTGTATTGTAGCTTAAGATTATTCTCGTACAGCCACAAACTAATATATATATATATATATATATATATATATATATATATATATATATATATATATATATATATATATATATATATATATATATATATATATATATATATATATATATATACTTAAAAGTAGGAATATTGATTATAAAGATTAGATTTAACATTCATTTTTACAGACAGTAAACTGCTTTCTTTAACACAGACATGAGGCAATGTTAGTTTATTATTTTTAGTACAGTAGATGTAGTTGTGAACTAGAGGAGCTAGTGGGGGTGACGTTGTTACTTCCTCCCTCCCACAGACCAAGCCAGTAGCATTCTCGGTGCGCACCAACGTGGCCTACGATGGCTCCCTCGACGACGACTCGCCTGTACACGGCTCAGCCATCTCCTTCAACGTCAAGGATTTCCTCCACATCAAGGTAGGACTTTATGGGTTAAACTATTGAGTCATCCATACACCAAATGGTATCGTTTGTGGTGACTGTTGGTCCGTGTTAATCTACTAACATAGTAAATCTGATCATCTTGAGAAAAATTTGTGTCACGGCGTCCATACTCTTATTAAAACAAATAAAATGACAATTTTGGTTATTGATAAAAAGAATATTGATTTGCAATAGTAATAGGCTTTTCTATTTCACTGTTTCACTCACAACATCATAAAAGATATTGAGGACCACTAGCACGTCACCGCTAGTAGTTATGTTGCGTGTTTCAGTGTTCATGACACCATGAATGTACAGATCACACACTAACTCAACCAGGAATGAACCAAAGTTCCTCCCTACACTACTAAATTGTCAAGAGTAAGGATTCCTTCCATGCTAAGAGGCAGCATGCCGTAGCGCAGTGAGCAGTGGTTGGTGTAAAAATGACATCACAAGCACAATATGTATCCATCACAAGGCTAGACCCGCCAGACACAACCCAACCTGTTGTGTAGCCCCACTCCACCATGCATTATAGCCCTGCCCCATCGTGCACTTTAGCCCCCGCCCCACCAAGCATTATAGCCCCGCCCCACCCGGCATTATAGCCCCGCCCCATCATACATTATAGCCCCGCCCCATCATACATTATAGCCCCGCCCCATCATACATTATAGCCCCGCCCCATCATACATTATAGCCCCGCCCCATCATACATTATAGCCCCGCCCACCCACCAGGCATTATAGCCCCGTCCCATCATACATTATACCTCCGCCCCACTATACATTATAGCCCCGCCCTACTACATCGTAACTCGCCCTACTATGCATTGTAGCCCACCCCATATACATTATAGCCCACCATACATTATAGCCCTACCCTACCATACATTATATCCCTACCCTACCATACATTATGCCCCGCCCTACTATGCATTATAGCCCTGCGCCCGCCATACATTATAGCCCCGCCATACATTTTAGCCCCGCCATACATTATAGCCTCGCCATTATACCATACATTATAGCTCTACCATACATTATGGCTCTACCATACATTATATTCCCATACATTATGTACATTATAGCCCGCCACATTATAGCTCTACCATACATTATAGCCCCACCATACATTATAGCTACATTATGCTCATATAGCTCACCATACATTATAGCCCCCATACATTATAGCTCTACATACATTATAGCTACATTATAGCTACCATACATTATAGCCCCACCATACATTATAGCTCTACCATGCATTATAGCCCCACCATACATTATAGCTCTACCATACATTATAGCCCCCATACATTATAGCATTATAGCTCTACCATACTTCCCACATTATATATTATAGCCATACATTATAGCCTCGCCATACATTATACCTTACATTATAGCCCCACCATACATTATAGCCCCGCCATACATTATAGCCTCGCCATACATTATAGCTCTACCATACATTATAGCCCCACCATACATTATAGCTCTACCATACATTATAGCCCCGCCCTACATTATAGCTCTACCATACATTATAGCCCCGCCCTACCCTGCAGGAGAAGTACGATAACAACTGGTGGATCGGGCGCCTGGTGAAGGAAGGTTCGGACGTGGGCTTCATCCCCTCCCCCGTCAAGCTGGAGAACCTAAGGCTTCAGCAGTCACAACAGAAGAGCTCCAAGCTCTACTCTTCGAAAACTTCATCCTCGGGTAACCTGGGAATGATAAATGATGTTTTATCCAATAGCAAGAGCTCCAACTCCCGAGGCTCCACCCCTCCTACCCCCGGTAAGTGTATCTATAATAAATTTGTACCTCTAGCAGCGCTGTGCATTTTTTTTTGGTCCGCGGCGCTGCACATTGGTATTCATAAATAAGTTCACCAATATGTAATCATCTGGGTTGCATCCTCATCTCTTGAAAGATGTGTTCATTCCCATTTTTTTAAACACATAATTTCGAAGGTGCACGTTATAGAATATAGGACATGCGTGAGTAATATACACCTCACAAGACGACGTGAAAAGCGCCTACGTTTGTCCGTGGTGATGATAGGGGCGAGTCCTTCTCCGGGTTCAAGACAATACAGTCCTTTTAACGTGTTATTGTAACCATACATACACACAGTTAGTCATGCTCCTCGGGGACACACGTCACCCGTTGAAATTTGTGCTCGTTTTTTTTTTTAAGATGGAATGTATCGTGGTCGAGCAGTTTTTCTTTTCATACCGGACAATTGTCATCTGGACCCAGGCAGATGTATGTGACCCCAAGCAAAGGGACTGTGTGTGTGTGTGTGTGTGTGTGTGTGTGTGTGTGTGTGTGTGTGTGTGTGTGTGTGTGTGTGTGTGTGTGTGTGTGTGTGTGTGTGTGTGTGTGTGTGTGTGTGTGTGTGTGTGTGTGTGTGTGTGTGTGTGTGTGTGTGTGTGTGTGTGTGTGTGTGTGTGACGAAATAGATGCTGAGAAATGTTATTAACCCAATGGTGGAAAGTTAGTTAGATGAGGCAACCTTTCAGATGTTTTACCCTAGGTCAAGTACGGTTGGGTTCGGTTAGGGAAGGGAGTGGTTTGGTACAAGATGGATGTGTGTGAACTGAATAATTATTTGGACTTGAGTAATTGTTTGAACCAGGAAAATAACTGTTTTCTGGTCGTTATCCTCTAAATATATTTTTTCTTTCCTACTGAACGCCCGAGTGGTTGTTTTGGGGGGTAAATAAATTAATGTGTATGGTGGGTGGATGAGAGAGAGAGTTTCTTATGCCTGGTGCAGATGGAGGTAGCAGGGATGTGTGGGTTAGATGGATGACTGTGAGCCAGGGCAGATGTGTGTAAACATAGTTTTAAATATCCCAAGACGGGTAAATACATCTGAACCTGGCCAGATGTGTCCGAAACCCAAGAACCAGTAGGTGTGATTGACCCCAGGTAGATGGGTTTAAGCGTGGCAGAGGTGGTAGATTAAACCAAGAATACTTATAATCTATCAGTAACAACACGGTATATCTTTGACAACAGTATAAACAGTTATGTGCTAATTGAATTTCAAGTGAAATATTTTGTGCCAGTGTTGTCATGTGTTGATGTTTTAGCTGTTTGATCCCCCAGGTGTCAACATCAGTACACACAACAACGCCTACTCTCTATGTGTTAGATTCCCACCACCCAAGTGTAAAATTTAGTTCACCTAAGTCTTAAATCTGTTAATTGTCAGAGTCCCTCCACTTGGGTATTAGTCCCAGCATTTAGGTGTTAAACTCCCAGCATTTTCGTGTCAGATTCCCAGCATTTTAGTGTCACACTCCTCGTATCGAGGAGTGGAATACCCCAGCATCTGCGTGTGATGTAGGTAGTTGTAGTGAGGCGGGGAAGGGGGCCAGGGTGTCCACGTGGGTGTTCTGTCAACCCCCCCACAGCCAATCTGGCCACCCACCACCCCGTGGGGCAAGGCGGGTGCCTCGTTGACCCCTGTTGACCCACCACCCACAACTCGCCCGCCTCTTGCCTACCGAACATTTCAACGTGACCGTGGTCTGGTAGGAACCCCTCTCATCCTGCCGGGTTAAAGTGTGTACACCAACCAAGACGAGAGAGAGGGAGATCACATGACACAGCGTGCAGTGTACATTATTACACAGTGCCTACACCAGTTGTTAGTTTCTTGTGTGACTGAATATGACTCAGAAATAGGAAATAATTCTATATCCCAGTTTTGACCATGACATTTGTTGAACATCATATTTGTAGGGAGTAGATACTATATACTGTATAGCGATATTTTATGTACATAAAGAATGTCAAGTGAGTCTTTAAGATGTGTGTGACGGTAAAAGTGACGGTTTATTCTGTATAATGTAAACAGCACCACGCTGTTGACTTCTTTGACTACAGCCTTCACAGATAATCCAACAGACCAGACCTAAACTATCCAAATTGTTTGTTCTGGCCAGGCTTTGGCAGGCGGGAAGTGTGCCATGCCCAAGTCGAGCTAGCTAGTTACCTTACTTCATAGGGAGCGCTGTGCTCTCACAGCTCAGTTGAATGACTAGTACTAGCCTAGTGAATAGTGTGGGGGGAGGGGTATCTGGCAGTAAAGTAAGCTTGTAGAAGAGAAAGCTGTGGTGTCCTCATTCAGTTATTCTCCATTCTGTTTTCCTGTATTTTTTCTTCTTTTTTCTTTTTACTCTTGTTAAGAAGTCTGGTATTGCTGCAGTTTATTTTGTGTACAGCAGTTTTGAGTAGCAACCCATCTCGAAGATAAATTATCTACTAAACAGATATGACCAGTAGTGTAAGTCTATAGTTGAAAGTATAATAATCACGAATGCTAATCCATTAGAAAAAGTAACTGTAATTTTTTGGAGAGCACGAAGAATTAATGTTAAGATGATAGATACGTTCTAGAATAACTGAGGATCATCATCTTACAAGTAGATGGTCACACTCGATGCTAACAGTATTCTTTTTTTTTGCGTTATATCATATAAAGTCTTTGAAGTGTATTTTGATATTTTCTATGCGTTTATTTACTTTTTGAGGGCACAATGTTTGTTACTAGTTTCAGCAAAGCCTTTTTAGTATTGTTTGTTGCTAGAATGTTAAGGTTCGTTCGCTAGTAGACTGCAGTAGAATGCTAAAGTAGCAGCTTTACGCTAAAAGCATGAGTAGACGCAGGTGTGTAGCGTAGTCGCAGGTGTGTAGCGTAGCCAAGGGTGTCGATTGAGACGTTCCTAGTGTGGTAACTGTTGTGTTGCCACGTACCTCCACTTCACTACACCTTTAGAACCACATTGCTATTGTGCATATATATATATATATATATATATATATATATATATATATATATATATATATATATATATATATATATATATATATATATATATATATATATATATATATATTAATTTGTTGGGAAAAGTAAAGTTTTATTTGGTAATATTTCGATGGACACTTAGTACTGTATTTCACAGTAGAGGTGGTGGCGGCAGTGAGAGCGTCAGGTGGCAGCACAGCTTGACTCGGCCAGAAACTACCAACGAAGTCTTAAAAACAGAGAATGTTCACACACAATTAATTACCGGTTTTGAATTAAAAATATTTTTTGTGATATATAATACTATTGTACAGTATCACGTTTTTCATAAAACTTTATTTTCGTTTTCAAAATTTTAAGTGCTTGTGTTAAAAGTAACCAAAGATGAATTATCGGTTGAGATGTGTACACTATTATAAAGACTTACCATAAAGGATGCCAGTTTTTATACTGGATCCATTTTTTTTATTAAATATATCTGGTCTGATGGGTAATGAGCTATATATTTACTTGTACAAGAAGGGAGCTAGTTTTTACTGATGTGATGTGCATTACTTGTGCCATTACATTATATGAATGATAGTGACTAAACTATATATATATATATATATATATATATATATATATATATATATATATATATATATATATATTCCACCACTGATACTTGTTTTGTGCCCATCGTAGAGAAGCGTGGGACCAAAGCAACAGCATGAACCTTAAAATCTGTAATTTATCTTTAATGACGTTTCAGACAGGTCCATTATCAGTGTTCTGTAAGCCTCGTGGAACGGTAACACATGCTAATAACTTATAATTAAATAAACAATTTATTTTTGGTATTATTTTCTTGTAGCTCCGTTCATTCCTACCACTAATCTATTATCATATTCGAATAAGGCGTCTAATTATAAGATAATTTTCATCTATTACATTACCGGCGGAAATGTATAATAACGGAGATAGCTTTTCCAAATAAATGTCTATTTTCTTCCATTATTTCCCGCTATTATCGTCTGCCTCTCAGCGTCTCCTTCATAAATCATGACTCGTACCCGTACACGTCTCGCGGCCAATCAAAAGCGTTTTTGCTAATTCAGAGTATATTTGGCCCAATCAAAATCGAGTTTTATTTTGAGTCTCATATTTTGAAATTCAAGTTCAGTTCCGACCATGGAAGTCTGTGGTGGATGTCTCTTAAAGTATGTGGAGCTGATGGAGAGTTTTTGGGAAACACGTAGAAACTATAGTCAGGTAAGTTAGGTCAGGTCAGGTTAGGTTTAGTTATTGTTTTTTCTAGTGTTTTATTGTGTATTTGGTAAATTGTTCTTGTAGCTCCATTCACTTGTAGCAAGTTAAAAATATATTTTTCTAGTGTCTTTGTGTTGTTGAGACCCAATATGACCTTCCTTTTGGGCGGAAATTAGCCGGGGTTTTTTTGCGATTTTTTTTCGTTTGACGTTTTCCGAGAAAAAAAAGGTGCCTAAGTCGTTTACTATCACAACCAAACATTCCCATATTGTTACGTTAGAAAGGATGGTATTTATTTGTTGGCTTTATAAATATTTGTATTATGATTATCTAAATGATCATCCGACCAGTTTTAACCCTTTCACCGCGTTTCACACACTTGCCATTTTATTCAGCTTAGGGTTACCTCCTTCTGTGAAAGGGTTAATTTCTTAACAATTTGTAGGGCAATTGTGAAATAAATATAATTAAATTTTTCTACTTTATTTTCGTAAAGTTAAACTGGCGTGTATACAGTATAGTCCCGCCGGCCATGTATGTAACCATTGATGGAGTGTAACGTCATTATTAAACTAACATAAACCTATTTGGTAAAATGTCAGTTTTAAGGTTTTGAGAATTAATGGGACTATTATCCCGTAACTGAGTGATATATATATATATATATATAGTAAAATCTGGTTCCCTTCTTGGTGTTGCAGTACTAAAATTTTCTGGTTTG